CCCCCCCCCCCCCCCCCCCCCCCCCCCCCCCCCCCCCCCCCCGCCCTTTCCAGCAGCGCGAGAGAATTCCCGCAGATGATCTCCCTTCCGTCCCGTTGCCTTGGACCAAGACTGTTCTGAGAGACTGCCGGACTGAATGGGGTGTGTGTGAATGGTGTGTGCGAATGGTGTGTGTCTCTGTGTCTAAGCAAAGCCCAGCACCCCATGTGCAGGGAAGGAGACCTTTTGGAAAAGCGCAAAGGCCAGGGCCGTTTTGCAAAGACACCCTTGCCTCCGGCCCAGATGCACGGAGGAGGAATGCAGCTCTGTTAAATGCCGGTTTGTCACTTAACCAGGTTTTTTATTTGGCTGCAGAGAAACACGTAGAAAAAGCCCCGACAGCCTCAGGGAGGGAGCCCAGCCTCCCTTTCCCCAAAGGGGGGATATTGGGCTGGGCTGGAAGACCCAGTTGGGGGATTAAAAAGCCACCCACCCAAAATGAGAGAGAGAGAGATTTTTAAAAAACGGGGGGTGGTATATAGACGGTAATATCGGTCTACCAAACAGCGGCTTGAAATGTGTTGAGCTGCAGTACGTGTGTGCTCTCACACCCCTGGTTTTCACTCCCCCACCAGTCCTCAAGCTGCTTCTCCCTTTTTTCCCCTGACAGGTCAGGTAGATTCTCCCTGAGGAGTAGATCCAATAGATCTCTTACCACAAGCAACCTCTCAGAACAGAGCAAAAGGTCCAGGCAGGCCCCGTCCCTCTTTCTTCCAGGAAGAACTAAGATCTTTCTCCTTATTGTTTATTTATTTGTGTGTGTGTGTGTGTGTGTGTATCTGGCAGGTGGAGGAGGGGGGCTTCTCATTTATTTTTACAATAAAAGAAAAAGGAGAAACAACCTTCACATGAAAGCATTACAACGCCAACTCCCTTTGGTAGAAAGTGTAACAAAATGATTTCGCCGCCCTCGCTCGTAACGTACTTAAAAACCCCTGAAACCAACTGGTAACTCCAAAAAAAAAAAAAAAAAAAGGCTAGTAAGAGTTGTACTAGCACGTGAAGCACACTTAATTCTTTTAATTAAAGAAAAAAAAATTGACAAATATGTACATTTATTTACAAAAAACAAACAAAACAACAAACCAAAAAAATAAAATAAACCAACCAGGAAGTGGGGAGCGGAAGGCGAAGAACCGGATTAAAATCGTTTTGTGGCGGCTATTGTCAAAGCGTGCATGTGTGACTGAGAAGAGTTTGTGTATGTGTAAGAGAGAGAGAGAGAGAAAGAGAGAGAGAGAGAGAGAGAGGGAGAGAGAAAGAGTGTGTTTGTGTGAACAGCTGGTGCATGGCACTAAGAGCCTAGTAAACAAGCAGGTACAAAACATAATAATAGTCATAATAATAATAATAATAAAACTCAAATAAAATGGTAGTTCCACTGGCACTAGATAAAACAGACTGATCTTAATCGGTTTAGGGACGCCGGGAGTCCCTGGTCACAGGAACGCAACGGATGAGAAGGAAAAGTTGAAACCCACTGAGGGGGGGGGGGGTTCTGACTCCCCCTCACCTCCAGGTGGTCTGCAGAACTCAGGAAGCGGCTCAAAAAGTTTTCAAAAAGTCTGCCGCCAAGTCCCGAGACGAGGGACGCCGCACTTCTGGCGTCTTCCTTAAAAGATTCTGGCCTTAAAACTCGTGTCTTTCGGGGGGGGGGGGGGGGGAGGGAGGGAGGGGGGGAGGGGGAGGGAGGGGGGTGTATAATATGCCACGCACCCGAGTCCTGGTCGAGCTACTCAAAAGCACCCAAAGGATCAGGGCTGCTGCTGGTGGGTAGAGGCCAAGGTGCGTCTCCCCTCGGGGCGACTCGCGGACCTTCCGGGCCCCCGTGGGCCGATGTGGGCGCTCCCGGCGGCCGGGCTGGCTTCGGTTCCACGAGACTGAGGGGAAAACGGGCCCCTGGGACGTCTGCGGGCGGAGTGAGTCGCGGGGAGTGGCAGGTCGCGGAGCCGCACGAGGAAGAGGAAGCGGGCAGAGGGAGCCGTCCTCATTTTGCCCGCGCCGCACTGCCCCTCCCGCGGTCTGTGTGTGTGTGTGTGTGGGCGGGGGATGCTCCTCCCCTCCCACCAAACACGCTTCAGTTTTCCCTCTTTCCCTCCCCGCAGCACCGGCGTTCAGGGCGTCTTACAGATTGTGCTGTATTTCACGCGGTATTTGTTGATGCTCACAAAATGCAAGTCCTCGGCCTCGCGAGTGGTGGTGCAGGGCAACAGGCCCTCCAAGGCTTCGCCCATGAGCCACTGGCTCGTTTCGGCTGCCATCTCCCGGGTGACGTGCTCCTTCGTCCACCGGTCCACCCAGGCCTGGAAACGCTGGTGCAGCCTCTTGCTGACTCGCTCGTGGGACTGCAGGGGAGGGGAAGGAGTTAGGGGGAGCCGCCTTCAGAGCTACCGGTTCTACAGAGCCAGTAGAAACCCACCCCTCCTTGAGGCCTAAAACAGCCAGGGGGGTTTTAAATTCCAAGGAAAACCTCCCAAAAGGAGCCCCCCCCCACCCCAAGAGGGAGAAGAAGAGCAAAGGGAAAGAGGTGGACATTCCCACCCTGAGTCTTGTGGGGTAGCTTGGCTTGACCATTGCACGGGGTGGCCCCCCACCCACTATGGTCCTTCCGCACCTCCAGCCCCCCCCAACAACCACCTTCCCTAGATGTCCACGCCCCCCTCCCCCCAAGAGGACCGGGCTCATGGGCTCCCCCTCCCTGGGCCAACCTGATGGGCGCGCAGCAGAGCGGTCCTCCGGTACATGTAGTCTTCCGACTTGATCACGTAAACCATCTTGTAGGAGTTCAGCTTGAACTTGCATTCGAGCTTGTCCAAGCTCTCCACGTTCTCCAGGGGCTTCTTGCCCAGCCCCTCTTTGCCGTCCTTCTCCTGCTGTTCCCGACCTCTCTGACATTTCCGGATCTGCCGCAGGTTCCTGAGAAGCAGAGAGAGAGAGACCAACACTGGAATTAGGGTCTGCCTGGAAAAACCCAACCCACAGCTTCTGCTGGGGGGGGGGGGGGGGGGGGCGGGGGGCGGGAGTCAAGCATGGGTGGCTTGACTCACAGAGGACAGGGGCGTCTGGGAAGTGGGAGGCCCTTACTGGTAGCTGCCCCATGGAGCCCCCAAGCCAGCAATTGCCCCCATGACAAAAGAAGAGAATCTCTATAGAGCAGGGACGGGATTCTCCCAGTTTGCACCTATTCGCTAGAACCGGTTGTTAACATTCTAAGCAGTTTGGAGAACCGGTTGTTAGAAGAAATTACTGGGCTAATCCTGTAAGGAAGGCAGGAAGGAAACATTCTGGTGTTGCTTACAGAAACTGCCTCTCCGTTAATCCTTATTACATTCTTGGCAGGACTAGACTTCCTGTCTCAGGAACTTCTCTGGAGTTTTTTTCCCTTCCTTTGCTGGTATTTTGCTTGTGTGGAGTGACCGTTCAAAGTTACAATGGCACTGAAAAAAGTGACTTATGACACTTTTTCACACTTACAACTGTTGCCGCATCCCCACAGTCAGGAGCGGCCAGGGGAGGAGATGCGGGCCTCGATGTGAGTAATGTTGAGTTGGCCACACCCAGCCAATAACATGACCACCAAGCCATGTCCACCCAGTCACATGATCACCAAGCCACGCCCACCAATTAAGCCACGCCCACAGAACCGGTTGTTAAAAAATTTGAATCCTACCCCTGCTATAGAGGTCAGGATTGAGCTATGGGGTTCTTGGTACTCTCTCTGCGCTTGGTGTTTCTACTGCAGATGTTTCGCTATCGCTGAAGATGTTACCCAAATGCCTGCAGGAAAACCACCCAGCTTGGGGAATCGGGTTCCAAAAACCAAGACAGACACGTTGAGGTTCTTCTAAGCTGCTTCCTTTATCATTCCATCACCCATAGAGTGAAATCTCACCAAACTGGAGCAGTCTTTGCACCGCGAAACCTAGCCTCTGGAAACCCTTGAGGAGGAGCCGTCTTCACCCTCTTTCTCATACACAAGCAATCTAAATGGTGTCATCCCTTTGCTCTTCTGGAATGCAGCCCCTCCCTTCAGAAAACCTTTAATCACGCTAAGGAAGCATCAAGGACTCCCCCATCATTTCCCTCTTCCCCAGTCCAGCAGTGTGTGGGGGGGGACAGGACGGGACCCTGGCTAGAGGCAATGCAGGCCTCAAAACAGCGCATGGGTGCTTTCAGGTACGGGTGAAGAATGGGCTCTGTTGTCTCACCTGGGCAGAAATACCGGCTTCTGGGCCAGCTGTTCCCGCAGTTCAGGAGACGTGGAGTCCGAGTTGACGTAGCGATCCACGTAATCCGTCCAACGCTGAAAAGGGGAACCGAGAGATGATTAATCCTTCTAAAAGGGAAGGGGGAAAAAAAGCAGGTTTTCTGCTGTGGGACATTCTAACCCTCCCTTTATGCTGAGGCTGCAGGAACAGAATCTTTGCCAAGCGTTTTTCCTTCTTTCATTCTGACGTTCCACAACATTGGAGACGATCCCTTCTGAGATGCTTTCCCGCGCCCCGTTCCCTTCTGGGGGCTGAGATACCTTTTACCTGGCAGGCAGAGTCTAGCCTGCGGCTCTTCCTGCTGGCTCCCAAGGCCATCCCAGCTGGGTTAGGCTTCCCCATTTTTAAAAACCGTGTGTGTGTGAGAGAATCGGAACAAAAACACGGCAGAACTGCTGACGGAGCACAGCCCACTCTTACCTCTGCCTCAACAGGGTCGTCAGAGTTCTCCTCTTCGGTATCCAGCAGTTCAATGGTTAACTGAACGTGGCCTCTGCTCTGAACGAACATCATCTACGGCGACGAAACACACAGGATCACAATGCTGGCCAAAGGGCCTCCAGATTAAAAAAAAATACCGCCCCCTCCCAAATAAGTGCTGTGAATCACAACCTAATATCAACTCATAAAATATTTCTCTGGTCTTTTTAAGAGTTGCCACCAGAAAGGGAGGAGGGGAAGTAGCGCATTCCTTAAATGTTTTCATAGATAATTTCTAGGCGACCGAAGTTTCTGGCAGTGCAAAATTCTAACCGGAGAGCATGATTGATGACTCTGGGCTATGGAGGTGTCCCATTGGAGAATATGAATTACGATACACCCAGAGGGGTGGGGGAAAACCAAGGTCAAGAATGATGTGTTTCAGAGTCGGCTTCACCCAGGTAGCGCCGGCATGTCCACTCCTAATAAATCATCTTTTAAGCTCTGAAAGATCCGGCTAGAGGCTCATGATTTAAACGGGGGTGACGACTGGAGCCCTGACACCTGGATTTGGACAAGGGCGTTATTGAAGCAGGCAACGCTTCAGCTTAGCCACGGGGGCTCGGTTTGAAAAGGCAGCCGGAAGCCAACAGCCCCGTGCGTTTTATCGCTGGCACGTTAAGCTTCCGCCGAGAGACAAGTTGCAATATTTTGCCCCGAAGGAACCTGGCATCGAGGTCACAACCCACGATTAAAATCAAAGAACAAGACTGTCAGCTTAAAGCAAGAGAAAAAGTTGCGTTTTTGTGCGAAGCTCAGATTGATTGGGGGAGGAGGGGCAGAGAGAGAGAGAGGAGGGGGATTATTTACAGGGAAGGGGAAGCTGAAAAGATTCCAGGGAAAATGGGTGCATCAAAAGGAGGAGGAGGAGCGGCGTGTTTCTCCCAGCTTCTGCCGGTCATTAAATCCTCCAAGCAGCCTTTTGTTGCATTTCCAAGGGTGAAAAGAAAAACCATCAAAATCCTTTGATGAAGCGTGCCAGTTTCCACGAAGATCTGGCGTTTTTTTAATCGCTCGAGACAACTCCAAGATTATAGTTTAGGTTGCCCAGAAAACCCTTTGATATCAATCTCAGCCCCGAAGGCTGCATCTCTGCCAATTGTACGAGACGCCCGGAGAAACGGTTCGATAAATGGGACTTTGGGGGGTATTAAAGGCACCTTTGCACGTCGGGAGGGAAAAGATCAACCCACCCACCCTTCCCCAAAAAGCGACCCTCTCCAATTTCTCGCCCCTCAAAAGGCCAGCAAGGCTCTTGCCTGGCCATCCTGGTGTACCTTGAAGCAGTTCTCGTCCTGCATCAGCTGCTCGGCTTTGCGCTGATAGGCTGTTTCCACCAGGGAGCGAGAGGACTGTGAGGTCAGCAGCCCTCCCGTGGCACCGTTGTGGCTCTCGGACAGGTAGAGCTCTGTTACCTGCACGCAGATTTCATCACTCACGATGTGCTGGAGCTGAAAATTAAAAAAAAAAAGAGAGAGAGAGAGAGAGAGAGAACATTAAGGTGCCTTTTTGGAAGCTCCAACCCCAGGTGCACACGCTTTCTTCTGCCGCATGGTACAGATGCTACGCCCGAGGCCAGCAGGCAACATGCCTGGGCAAAGATATCTCCCTCTGCTGAACTTCTAACCTCAGTTCCCTCTGCCCCCGGGGCAAACAGGGCTGAGCAGATGCTGGATCCAGAAGCCGGCCGTTATAGCAATGGGGTGCAGACCAGCAGTGGCCGCAACTTGCATGCTGCAGAGTTGGGGAGGGGGGCTAAGGGAGCACCTTTGCCTTAGACGTCCTGGAAGCCCCCCTGACCTCTGGCTGTGGCCCCCTCTGCTTTGGAAGTTGTTGTACAGGCAACAAGCAGCCATCTCGGGCGTTTCTTCCCACCCACACCCCCATCTCTCTTTCAAACCCCCCCTATACACATATCCACACACACCTCTCCCTCTCTTTCCCTGTCTCTCCCCAATCTCTTTCCTTCTTTTCCTTCCCCTCCCTCCCTCCCTCCCCCTTTCTACCCACCCTCCCGCTCCATTCTTTCCCTCCGCACCCTTCCTTTCCCTCTCTCCTCCTTTCCCTCTCTTCTTCTCCCCCTCCCTTTTCCCATCTTTCCTCCTCTCCCTCTCCCTCTCTTCTCTCCCCACTCTTCCCTCCTTTTCCTCCTCCCTCTCTTCTCTCCCTTTCCCTCCTCCCTTTCTTTCCTTCTTCTCTTCCTCTCCCCCTACGTCTCTCTCTCTCTCTCTTGCCTCCCCTCCCCGAATCACCTGTCTGACGATGCTCTGGATGAGCTTGTCCATGGTGAAGGCGATGTAGGCGTGAATGGTGAACATGTCGCGCAGGGAGTCCTCGTATTGGGAGGAATCCATGTTGCCGTCCAGGAGGTTCCGCACCATGTCCAGAAAAGCAGGGTAGTAGTCTTCCACCTCAATGTCCACTGAAATGGGGAGGAGGGGGGGGGAGGGAAACGGAAGGAGGAAGGGCGGGGGGGAGAGAGGTGTAGAACAAGCTCATTAGAACGGCTTTGCAGGGGGAGTGTCAGCCCTGCGAGGGAGGCCACGCTGGAATGCAAGCGGCAGAGGAGCCGGAGGGCTCCCGGCTGCCTGCGCATTTGAGTTGCGAAGCTGATTCGACTGCCACTTTTTTAGGGCCCTGGTTCAGCGAAGCCGACGTTTGCCATCGGGCGGTTTTGCCAGGAACCGGGAACAAAGGCCGGCTTCCCCGCAGAAACGCCCTGAATAAGGTGGGTGGCTACAGTGTTATTATTTATTATTATTATTATTATTATTATTATTATTATTATTATTATTATTATTATTATTATTATTATTATTATGCATCCCTTGGATAATGTTTTTACTTCCTGCATTTTACTGGCTGTAGGCTTTAGCGTTGTCGTTACAACACTCTTTTGGTTTTGCAAGCACACCGAGGGCTTCTTGGCCAAAGAAAGAAAAGCAAATTACGCTCGCGTTGACTGTGGCGCCCAGGTTCCCTCCCAGCCACCCACCCACCGGAACTGGGTCCTCCTATAAGGGGCCCGCTGAGGGGTCTTGTCGTAACTTCCAGCTGTCGCTAAGCCAGCGGCCCCCAACCTTTTGGGGCACTAGGGACCAGTTCTGTGGAGAGGGGATTTTTCCCGTGGGCTGGAGGGGAAGTGGCTTTACCTGCATCCCACGGATGGGGCTTTGCTGGGTGGCACGGCCCGGTTTCCGCCCTGCCGCAGCCCGGTGGCTGGTCCATGGCCCGGGGGGGGGGGGGGTGGGGGCCCCCGGGCCCAGGTGCCCGATCGTTAAGCCGAGGACTACTTTGTACTCCCCCAATGCTGCCCATCTGCCCAGCCCGAGAGAGACACTCTTTTATGCCCTGTTGGCCGCCGGTCCCTCCAGCAGCCAAATCAGAGGAGGAGGAGGCGGCGGCGTGGGAGTCAGGGTCAGCATTAAGGCAACCTGAGAGCTTGAAGCAGGAAGAGGGAATGGAGCTGGCAGGAGAGAGGTGGGCAGAGATCCTGGGCTGTCCGTCAGCCCTCAAAGGGAGAGTCAACAGCCCCCAGGTCTGGAGGTGGCTGATAAGGAAGAGGAGGAACAGCTGGCTCAGTGCCTGACGCACGGATGCACAGAAGGCAGAGGAGAGGAGAGCAGTGGAAATCTATGGGCGGGTCCT